TGTATTTGTAAAGGAGGGGGGGGGATCAAAAAGAGTAATGCCATCGCTTGTGGTTTAAGGCTCTGTCTTGGATGGCCGCGGGCTAACACAGAGAGGAGAAGGAGCAAAAGGAGAAGAGTTGGCCTGTTTTTCCTTAACGGCAGTACCTAAATTGACCGACAGGCGGCGCTGCGAAACGGCAGAACCGAGGTACCAGCCCTTTTGCTCACTATGGAGTCAATTATTCAGGAAGCCTCATGCTTGTTTGTTGTTTGGAAAGCAGTGAAAGGTAATTCTTTGTAAATGGTTCAAACAAATTCAAATATTAGTCTGTTTTTCCAAAAAAAAAAAAAATCAAACAATATTATAATCAATACAAACTTTCTTTGGGGATATTATTATTATTATTATTTTTAGTTGTTGTTTTAGTTCAATCATTTCATCATTTTTTTAATCACATTTACTTCACTGTTAATTGTTTTCCTTTCACTTTAAGTGCAAAATGACTTGGTGGTAAATTATTTGCACCTTTAATTTGCATCTGAAAGGTATTTCTCATTTGAAGGGTACATTTGTGTGCCGATATAAATCGGTGTGGCGAGATGTATTTCCACCACAATTTGTTTTTGTCATTTTAACAGGGCACTCACTGCTTAAATGGGCAGCCTAGCTTAAAACAAAAATCGACTGCAAAAAGAGCGCAGGAACAAAGTGAGAAGTGATGTATTTTTATAACCATGTGCAAAAATAAATTTAACATGCAACAACATACCCCAACAATAATTAACCAATTCATTAAGTTTTGTAAAAAAAAAAAAAAAGAAAGAAAGAATGAAAGAAAGAAAAGGAAGGAGGAAGGGGGAGTTGAGTTACGACAACACAGTTAATCACACAAAAAATTCTAACAAAAATCAAAAATGAAATATTTATTACAGCATTTGTGACTGAACACCTTTTAAACATTACGTCACAGTCCTCATACAAGTATTTAATGTAATTTTTGACAAAGCTTAAGGGAGACGGCATCTTATCATCTAGTGAGGAACACGTGCTGAAAAAGGAAGGAATTCATGGACATACAATATCAATGCCACAGCAGATCTGAAACTAGCAAAAACATTCTTTATCAATTGAGGTAAACACATAGAATATCTAACATGAAACAATTAATAGACTGAACTCTGTACGAAGTTTGTTACAATATTCTCTCTGCTTTTTTTTACTCTCCCAAAAGCATTGAGTTCATAATTTAAGTGTTTTTTTTCTTTTTTTTTTCTTTTTT